ATCACCTAATCCATCGCCATCACCACCTCCATCAGACCGATCACTTACTTGATCATCACGACCCTCTTCTTCACGATCCACCAAACTGAAAACATCAACTTTATTGTCTAATCCATCACCACCATCTTCATCATCCTGATCTCTTGCTTGATCATCAGGACCCTCTTCTTCATCCTCATCACCTTCGACATACCCATCACCCTCTTCTTCATCCTCATCACCTTCATCACCCTCTGGCGCGCTGTCGTCGTCATCACTACCATCCTCGTCTTCTTCAGTTGACTCTCCAACATTTTTTGATCTTTAGCTTCAGAATCTTTTTCTTGTAGTGCGTCAATGCGACTGTCGCATTCTGCGAGATAGAATAGACTGCTGGTATATAAAGCCCTTCCTGAGCTCAATAACCTGTACAAACACAAAACACATCGTTCGTTCAATACATAAATAAAAATAAAAGAACAGTGGTACATATACCAGTTCAGTGGTACATATACCAGTTCAGTGGTACATATACCAGTTCAGCGGTTCAGCGGTATCTTACCTCTGAAATATTCATTGCCCCGATTCCTAGAATCTCAAGATTAGGGGACCCCTCGTTGGTAACGGTCTGCACAGCCTCTAATCTCCTTGTCATCATGTCCCTTATAAGTGTGGAGGTGTCCTTGTTCCTCCCAACAAGTGGCTGAATGTAAGGAGCAGAACCCAATGATGAGTAGGCAGCTATCAATTCGACCCGTCTGTTGAAGCATGCAGTATGTGTCCAATTCTTGCATGAAGGAACCATAGTAGTCATCTCTTGACTGTTAACAGTCCTATCTAGGTACCACACCATCAACAAATGTAGATCTCCATTTGTATATTGTTTAGTCTTATTCTGCCGAAATGATTTCTTCATAAAACTCCACAAATACTGGCACCAGTTGTATTCAGCAAACTCATTAAACTCATCGTCTTTTAGATACGCCAACACCGAAGATTCAGCAACATTCTTGGTGCTTGGTTTGAACAGGTATCCAAAATAGAACATGACAAACAAGCGTATCCACAGCTTGTCGTCCTTAATGTTTAGTAACAGCTTCTTCAAAGCCCACAGCTTGTGCCAATCTAGGTCTTCTCCTTCCATACCAGGGAGTTCATCACGCAACTCTTTGCACCTGTCCCAATCAAATGTCGTTACCATCTTTTTACCCCGAGGAAGTCCACACACTCGATGAACATCATCAACTGTAAATGGCATTGTAGTGCCATCATCCATGATGATGGACATTGTATCCGCATTGAACTTGTTCACCAACCAATTCAACAGGGGCTTGTCAAACCTCTTCATTTGCAGCTCAAAAATAACACCCAAACCCAGCTTCTTCAGTATAGCCCTTCTCGCGTTTGACACTCCATCATTCACGATTTCTATTATCGAGTTAGGGCTGCACTTCTTGCCGGATACATCATCTGTACGGTTCCTCTTCTTCCGACCTTGTCCTTCCTTTTCCTTGCACTTACGGCGTCGTTTCTTGCTGGTACCCTCACTAGAGGAAGTATACTGATTTACCCCAATATCAACTTGCCTGGAAACATAGGTTGCAGGCCTGGGTCCAGCAGCCTTCTGGCCCCCAGGATTCTGCCTCGCAAGTTGATTGCCTGCTGACATCTCAGGACCCGTTCTCTTCGTCCTTGCCATTCCTGGTAAACTACCAGTGTAGTGGTACTTTAAAGAACCCAAATTATTTTGTAAATATCACTGATGTGATAGCCTTAGAAACAAAAACATTACAACGAATTACCACTTTAGTGATATTTGAACCACTCCATCGCTAGATCTACCGCTGCATATGGAAGATTTACCGCTATATTGATAGATATACCACTATAATTATACATCTACCACTAGAGTGATATAGCTACCACTATAGTGATAGAACTACCAATACATGAACTACCACTATGCAAAAACTCTACAACTTACGTGCAATAATGTAGTGAAAGAGACGACAAAAAATAAATGCATTCGTGAAGTGAATTGTTATCGTTCAAGTATACTTGCCTCACCTTAGGATGAATTGAAGCAGAAAATCACGTCGGCGCCCCTGTCGGCTTATATAGCCTCTGTCGCTAGTTGACTCTCGTCGACGGGAATCGATCAAGCGGGTTCGAAGTTGATGGTTCGGGACGAAAGACGACGACATCCGACGAGAGGGATGGGACGACCGCTTTTTGTGAAGGAGATGATGGTTTACAGCGGGGGTAGTGATTAGATGAGTCGACGGCGAAGGGTTGAGGGAGGGTTCTGAACAGAGAGAAATATAGAAGGAAAATGAAACGGTGAAATTAAAAAAGGTAAGAGGGAATGTCTTTACATTATGAGTGGGGGAACCAACGGTTTGCTTCTTCCTCTTTTCCGATGTAATTAATTACAAATTACCAACTGCGTACAATGACCATTAGATTAAGCTAGCTAAAATGGACGGTAAAGACACTGGGTGTCGAAAATCAGACCCCATTAGGGGGTAGTCACACTAACCGGTCCCTTTCACATGTTAATTGTATTAATTGTGGGTACCAACGTGTGTATAGTAGTTCGCGAACCATAAGTACATCATTGTTTGTCTCATGAATTGAGCAACGAGTAATAGTAAAAAAACTAGTTGTTATTTAATGGCAAAATTCATTCGTATAGCCAAAACTTTTACGTTTGTGACAATAATAGCCACTTTTGGGAAAATACCAATAATAGCCAGAAATTTGAAAGTTTGATGACAATAATAGCCATTTCCGTTACATAATTTAACGACGTTAGTTACACCGTTAGTCAAATTAATGGGACGATGATCTGGCTGCCAACTCACCCTCATTTTCGTTTCCACCTCAGCATTCATTGACAGGTGGACGACACCTCATTTACAAAAGTAAAAAAATAAAAAATTAACCTTACCTAGATCGGGGAAATCAGCATAGTATCTCCATCCAAGAACTGCCCGCTTCCCCTCACCGTTGTCCATTCTCGTTGACCCAGCCGCTGCCAATCTCAATTTCCGAATGCAAGGCCATCAACAAGTTCTCCAAAGAAGATGATTGGATTTGAAAACAACAAAGAGAGGAGACAATGGTTGAGTCCTCTACTTCTTTCACCTTTTGTTATTTCCTCCCTACCGTCCACTTCCACCACTGATCTTCCTCTACAGCCGGTTGGGATAGAAAAGAGGAAAACCCAAGTTGCTAAAGTGAAACCTTTCTCTCGTCCAGACTCGACCACCACCACCACTCTTTTTAATCTACCCGAACAAGACTAGAGGAATAAATCCAATCTAAGAAACCCCATAGAAAACCCACAGGTAGTTGAACAAATCTCATCTCGAACAAATCCCCACATAATTCCCATAGGGAGTTGAACAAATCGAAAACCCACAAGGAGCCGAACAAATCGAATAGTTTCCCCAAACTCGACCTTCTACCGCCTTGTGCGATTCGGGAAGGGTAGGAGACGAAGCGCCATAGAAGTGAGGTTGGAGATGGGAATCGGTTCATTATAGATTTGGCCTTCGATTTTAATGGGTGCTTTACATCTGACCCGCGATTCTCCTTCGAGTCATCCAACGCTCAATTCGCTTCCGATGTTAGGCCGGAGCTGGCGGAACCATCACTGGACACTTACGCGGGGACAGCGGATTGTTCATAAGTTTCGCCACCAATCGAGAGCTGGAAGTCTGGAGAAGTCACCATCATCGTCCTTGAGAATTGAGCGCCGTCCTTGATGGCGGCGGGGGAGAAGATTGAGAATTGAGCACGGTTCCTCGACGATGGTGGTAAGAACGAGACGGAGGGAGAAATCCGAGAAGATGAGCGGCGGTTGGGGAAAGGGAAGAGGAAAGAACCGAGTGGGGAGAGAGAAAATAATAAATAATTAATTATTTATTACAATTTTTTTAATTAATTCCATCTCATATTTTTATTGAATAAAAGTTTGACATGTCAGCTTTTCTGTTAGTCTAGTCAGCACGTTAACTCACACCGTCAAAGAATTGGACGGAAGTGGCTATTTTTGGTATTTCGTCAAAAGTGGCTATGTTTGGCCAAACCGTCAAAGTTTTGGCTATACAAGTGTATTTTTCCTTATTTAATATATTGTATGTTTGGGAAATCAGAATACGGTGGGAACTGTTGTATATATCTTGGCAAAGGCTTACGTCTGTCTTACGTTGTACGCATGTGTTCATACTTGTTATTTGCACTTCTATATATTTCGCTGAATCAGAACCGTCGGTTCTTATTTTTTATATTAAATCCATCAAACCGTTGGTTAGAGAATTAGGTACCGGGGTTCACCAATTTGGCGTTAGGGTATAGTATCATGCCTCAAAACTTCGCTTAATTCGTGCTCTAAATAGTAAAACTCGACGGGTATACAATGTACGTGTGGCATATGCTAGCCTGAACCATATATATGTGTGGGTGGGTGGGTTATTCTATCGTACCTTGAGTAAAATCAAAGGTATACTATACTTTGAGTAAGAAAATTATATCTAGACATTGAATTGACCGGAATTTGGCATCTAGTACTACTCCCAAACCCTGAAAGATTAATCTATGATTTAGTTCTATAAGTCTCATACACGAAGATCAATTTAATTAGGGGAAAAAACGATGATCGTTATTCCTCCAAATTTATGCAACAAATTACATGCATGATCTTAGGGGTTAGGTTCTATTATTTAGATAACCATGACCTAGGTTTCACCTATCAAGAGTTATGGTATAATATCATGCCAAAACTTGCTCTTTTACGCTTCTAAGTCACCAAAACGCTTCTATGCAAAATCATCGTTTTTATAACTAATGTAATCAAAAACTACGGTTTAAAACTTAAAAACTTATGATTTTACACTTCTAAATCACCAAGACGCTTCTATGTAGAAACGCGCTTTTGAATACACTGCTTTTACGATGGTAGTACACTAGAACTTGATGATACAAAAGATTGTCAGTTCGAGCAGCAAAACCAACAGCTTAATAATCAAAATTCATTATCAATCGAGCCAAAATTTGATAGCATAAGCTTGGGATTAGGGCAAAGATACGTGAAAGAACAAAAAAACCTTGGTATGCATCTGTTTTCAAAATTCTACAAACCACCAACAGAAAATCAACGTACTAATAAATAACTGATTAGCCAATCATTTCCGACATCTAGACCATGCATTTCTACTCGAGTAGTCGTCTCGTGAAAATCATTTTCCCCATCTTCTGCCCGCAGAGATCTGTTCATTCTAATACTGATACACTGTTTGCTCGCTGACACAGATGCGAGGATTATCCAAATCTATACAATCAAATGTTAATACATAGTGGGACGGATTTAGATATTTCCCCGAGATCGTAGTTTGTTAAACAAAAGAACAATGCTTACGTTAATCAACACAAAAGTTAAATAAGGTAGCAGGGAAAGGAACCAATCAGAATTGCTGCTGTTCTCGTTATGGGACTGCACTGCACTGCACTAGTTGAATTCTACTTTGTTTTGTTGCTGGTGAAGATGTTTGCTAGCGAGGAACCGCCCAACAGCTTTGCTGCTTATCTCAAACACGAATGCCATTTCTCGAATCTGCATATTCGGAGTTAGCAGATAGGTCGTATGGATGGCCTATCCAGGTGCGTTTTGGCCAGAGAGCCAATCATTGTTGACTTACAAGAATGTAAGGCATCAAATAGAGTGACGAAAAAGTGGAAGAGGGAGGTCTGTTATGCTTACCTCAATCAAACTGCTAGAACTAAGTGAAGAACTTTGCCCCATCAGGAGTTCTTCGCCATTCAAAAACATCGGACTCTTTCCGAGATTTTTTAGAACGAAAGATCCATCCTTCTCCATCTTTATAATCGCCTGTCAGAAACAATAGAAACATGGAAATGTTCAATCTTTAGTTGAATTCTGATGACAATTCTAACAGAAGATGAATATCTATCGAGCCTCCCCACCTGTCTCCTTGATATTTTGTTTGCCGGCCCCTCGATGCCCAAGTCAATATCAACATCCATATCATCTGTTGCCCTGCCAAGCATTACCTACAAAATTGAGCAGTGCCAAATGAGAACAGCATACCAAGCTTGGTGATGGATGGCTGAAGAAAGGCACTGATTTAAGCAACAAAAGCGAGCTAAGGTAATTACCTCAGTATCCCTCATATAGTGCTTTAAGTGACGCCCATATAAAATGGCAAGTGCACCATGGACTGTTATAGCTCTTTCCTTGGAAGATTTGGCACACTGTTCAAGCCTCATGATCATCCTCCTGCTATCTTCACTTTGATACCTTACCACTACAAATCGGCTCTTAATCATGATTCTTGTCATCTTGACTTTGGTACAAGAATTAAATTAATGCATATTCTTTGGTACTGCATTAAAAATGTACCCATTCCACACTTCTAAACTACTCAAGATCAAGGCCTTAGTTACTAAAATGAAGCAAAAAAAAGCAAAAAAAAAAAAAAAAAAAAAGGAAGCCTTGAGGTGTAAGAACTAAGAAGCATAATTACCTCCTCTGTTAAGACAGGAATCTGGATCATCAGGCCATAAGTCCATATCAAGTATCTGAAACAACATAAGCAATTTCCTGACTATTTGTCAAAAAAATAGAAAAAAGACTTCCCAACTAAAAGGGGCTAAAAAATATACTCTATTGTAAAATTCCTGAAATTTACCATGGCCTCAATCTCAGTAAAGGATGGAATATCATCATCACTCTCAAGCTCTTTCTCACCCGATTCTGATGGGTCTCCATCTGGTATCAAAGTGCCTTCTGCACAAGAAATTGTGGGTGCAGATTCCAACTCGCCCTTTAAAGCCCCAACTTGGCTGGCAGGTGGAGATGATGCCTGCAGTGATCCAGACTGATTCAGGCCTCCAGCAGTGGCAACGCTAGCTTGATCACCAATTGGGACGGGAATTATAGCATCAGAAGGCTTGCATTTCACTCCATTATTACTAGCAGTATCATTGAGAGGAACCAACTTTGTTCCCTTTTGCTGGGAGGCAGAAAGAGACACTGAAGCAATGCTCTCTTTCTTCATAGAGCTTACCACTCTTTTACCAGTTAAACCTTGGCTATCCTTTTGACTAGCAAGAGAGGAATTCCATTCCTTAGTCAGAACAATGCCATCATTGCACGGGACTTCAGGGTCTTCAGTGTTTAAAACACAAACAATTTCTTCATAGTTAGATTCAGCAGAAGAAGTACATGGTGCAGAGTTTGATTCTGGTCCCTTAACCTCGGAACATATGTAGTTATGCTGATCATCCTTGTCGAGAGCGCACCCTTCAGCAACAACCTCCGGTTCTGTTGGACAGGGACTTGAAGCAGTAGTTGTACCTGTTTCTGCAACTGGATTTTCCAATCCCTTAGCACTAGCTGATCTCTCTTCGTCTTTGTCATTGGAAGAACTCAGTACCACTGAATTTACATTATCAATGCAAGATCTATCTACCGTGTCTTTCCTATTTCCCTCAGCAGTGACCAGCTCTCCTTCAATCACAAAGTCTAATACTGAGTTCGAAATCGCAAAATCAACAACATCAACATTATGTGCGTCCGGCAACCTTGCATTGATCTTGATAGTGTCCATACTAAACAATCTATTTTTCGTCCCATCCAGACAATCATGAGATACCGAAGGTGCTTCTTTGCCCAGACCTTTATCCTCTGCACTTCTATGAACCACCAACTCGGATGTAGAAGCATCCTTAGTTCCTCCAGACAGAGGAAGCATTGTCATTCTCTGTACCGGCTCAATTTTCTCAGCAATCCTACAGTTTGGGTGCTCCACCAATCCATCTAAATTATCTGCGCCTAGACTATGTTGCTTAAAAGAGGGAACCTCCATAGACATTTCATTGCAATCTTCAATAGGAACAAATCCAGCAAGATCCTGGTTATAGTTTAGACCAATTTCATCAACAATTGGTATGCCAAGAAAATTAAGACCAGGAGAGCACTCACTCCAATGTGCAATGCGCCTCTTCTTCTTTTTCATGGCGTAGTACATTCGTCGAACACTCTCCACTTCGGACTTCTTCCTTTTAGCAGAATTCTCCGCGGTTTCTCTAGAAGCAGGTTTACTGAGCTTGGAAAATGAGGAGGCAGAAGACAACAAAGTAGCAGAAGAAAGCTCGAGCTCGGCCATGCGAGCAGAAGCTTCAGCCGAAACATCGGCGTCGTAGAGCAGCGAATGCCACCGATCTCGCAACTCACGAACCGTAAACCTGCGAGAGAATCGCACGGCGCCTTTCGCAAGTGCTTCCAAAGAAGCACCTGCCTAATTAACGGCGCATCCAAAATACAGTCATCAAACGAGGAACAGAGCATAGCAAAAACCTAGGGTTTCCAAATTCGAAGCCATATGGAGCTAGGGGATCTAAATTATGGACGCTCCACTCCGTTAACGACCAAAATTTATGAGAATTCGCAACAACAGAGGATAGAGAAATTGAGATAAAGGGAGGGGATACCTCAACGGCGTTCTTCAAAATGAGGTCGTCTTCCGGAATCCATGGAGGGCGATCTGGAGAAGCAGCCGGAGCTGCCATTCGCTTACCACATCTACGCCTTTCGAAACTTGAGGACTGTTCTCCGACCAGAGCATCAAGTAAGCAAACACATTGCGGGTCGAAATCTTACGAAATGCTGATTGAAATGTTAAAACTGGGAAGTTCAGTGGGCTTGGACTACATCAGTTAATCTGATTATTCGTTGGATAGCGCTCTGTAATAATCTCGTTGAGTTTCTTCTTCCGTTTTGAAACCGCGCGTAAGTGGATGTATTTCAGGGAATATTCGACTTTTGTGGACCGAGATTTTTTTTTTTTCTGAATTGCTATTCGTTGACCTAAAATTTAAATTATTTCGCCCTAAAATGTACTAAATTGACATTTATACCCCTATACCCAATTTCAATCCGTAATCCCTAACTCGGACCAATTGTCCGACCACCGTTCCCCCAACCCGTCGCCGCTCCCATTCCCCCACCCTGCCGACCTGCTGTTCACCCGTCCGACGATTTGCTGCTGAGGAAGGAGGAAGAAGGAGGAAGAAGGTCTGCTGTTTGGTCTCCCGCTGTCATTCCCCAATCGCCCGCCTACCCGCTGCAGCTGTTTCTTTTCTTTTTTTTAATTCCGGCGGACAGGTTTAAAACTCGAAAGGTTCTACGGACCGGAAAGAAGAAAGAAGACAAACAAATAGCAGAGCCGTCGGCGCTAAAACCACTGATAATCCCCTATTTTCATATATATATATATATATATATATATATATATATATATATATATATATATATATATATATATATATAAAGTAGAGTAACGAGAAGAGCATAGTAGAATCAGAATGAAGAAATGGAGTAGAACGAACAGTCGAGCACAAGTTCGTGGGTCGATGGAGGATTGAAGCTCCATGTAGCAGACATCGGAGCTGCAAGTCAAATTCGGATCTCCGATCAATTTGCTTAATTAGTTGCTAAAAATGGAGATACTGGGTAATTTGTTAATTTAACTTTTGGACATTTCATTTCTCTAAAAAAAACTTTTGGACATTTCATTTTGTTATTTGGTATAGTAGTATGCGTTCATTTTAGTATTTATATATGTTTTGAAAAGAAAGACTAAATTAAGGATATTTAAGTCATTTTGATAGATATTAGGGCGACAAATAAGAAGTTTTAGGGCGGCGAATAGCAATCCCCTTTTTTTAGGGTTAATTGCAAGTTTGGTCACTCGAATTGCTACAAAATTTCACGTTTGGTCACTAAAATTGGTTTATTTCATTAGTAGTCATTTAAATTAGTTGAACAGTCCAAGTTCGGTCACTCTCCGTTAGACTCCGTTAATGACGACCGTTAAGTGATGACGTGGCTAACAGAAAATCACAGTCAGCATATTTTAACCATAAAAAACGACTACCCGACCCGCCACATCTAGGGCTGGGAAACTGTGCGGTCTAGTCCAGACCAGACCATATATACGGTCTATGGTCCAGACCGAGAGGCTAAAGTATAGACCACAGACCAGACCACAGACTATACGGTCCGTCCAGACCACGCCTGTGCGGTCTGGTTTGGTCTGGTCTGGTCCAGATAGACCACACTCAACGACAAATGAATAATTTGTTTAGTCAACCACAGAAAAAACTGAACCAATAACCAAGAAAAATAATTGTTATTTGCCTTAAAACATTAATCCTAACATGCATGAATAATTTTGATACTCTAAATCTTAGTACATAACAAAGATACAAAGTAAAAACATCTCAGCTTGCACCATAACGTCATAAACATTAACATAATGTCATATGGAGACACTATTATTTCTACTCTCTGGTTAAATGTGGTTGTGAATGAAGGAGGGAAGAGATTCGCAAAATTAAGGTTGAGACTTGGGTGTCGTTGTGGGAGTTTGGAGAGTGATCGAATGGGCTGTTAACACGTATTGACAAGTCAGTTGGGTCCACGGTTTGGTCCGGTAAACCGCGGTCTAGACCAGACCAGACCTAGAGATCAAATCATAAAATAATACAGACCATGGACCAGACCATACTTCACGGTCTACGGTCCGGACCAAACTGTGCGGTACGGTTTGGACCACGGTTTTTCTAATGGTCTGGTCTATTTTCCCAGCCCTAGCCACATCAGATTTGCCCGTCATGTCACCCTTCCCTACCTAACCCACAAGCCAACCCAATAACCGACCCAACCCCAAACCCGACCCCCTTGAATCTGAAAAGTAAAATCGAAACAGAAAAGGGTAGGTCATTTTCTTTCTCCATCGTCCTCTCATCCTCCATTGCCTTTCTTCTCACTTCATTTCTGGATTCTCCATTTTCCTGTGGTAGGAGCAACGATTCGTTGCCAGATAACAGTAATCATGCCTATTTCCCCAGAGAGCAGCACAATTGGGGACCAAATTAGGCTCAGAAGGTCCGGTAGAAACAACTTCCATTCCCATCATCTTCAGCGACATCGGCCTAAGTTCAGGTTCTTAAGGCATCTTTTTTAAGGATGATCTTAAAGCCTTGTGATTGGCTAACTCAAATTTAGGTAATTAATATAGAGTTATTAGTTAAATAGTTGTTAGGGGTATTAAGGAGACTACAATTAAGTTAAAATATGCGTCTCTTTCTTTTCCCAACCCTAACCCACGTCTCTTTCTTTTCTTCTGTTTATTATTCCTCCCGCAAGCAGGCGAAACGTCCGTCGTCCCGAGTTCTCCCCGAGTTCTCTGTCTGTCGTCCCGAGTTCTCCGTCTGTCATCTGGTTGTCCCTTCTCCGTTCTGTTTTTATTTCTTTTCGTCTGTTTATTCATAACTATTGCTAATCTGACTATATTATTAACCATGTTGGTCTCTATTTTTAACAATTTTGTATTACGTCATTAATGTTTCCAGCATTATCATTGTCGTTCGCTGTCAATATTTATTGATTTCGGTGTCATTATTATCCTTATAGCTTTGTTGATAACTTTGAATCTTTTTTGCTTGCGTTGTTAAGTTATCAATGTGTAATTTTTAATGTTTGCAATTCCCATTGTAAATTTTTTCCGCATTATTAATATTTATCCACCATAATCAACAATTTCCTCTTCCACTCGTTTTATGGTGGTTTTTCGCTTTGATGCAATCATTATCAACGAATTTAGTTATATTTTCAACTCCAACACAGCTTAGTTATTAATGATTAAAATTGTCATTATCAACATTTCGATGTAAACTCTTATAATATTAAGCATTGATTAGCATATACAACGGTTAATAATGATAGGTATATCATTAATAATTCATTACATATACTTTCATAATGTAATTGAAAGTCGTTGTAAGAGGCCATGATTTGCTAGTTATGAACCTGGCGTGTTAACATGAATCCTTAATAAAAATGATGTGAATTAATGATAGCGTTATTCAAATAATTAATGATGATGTTACATAACTATAATAATTCTTTCATAAGTGTTGATGATGAAAATGTAAATAGTTAATAAATCGATCAAAAATTGTTAACAATCTTAAAGCATTGATACGTTTTGTGCAATTCCTTACAAAAATTATTTTTGTTTCCAACGAAATACAACATTGTTTTAAACATTTTTGTGCTTATTTTCAATGAAATACAATTTTTTTTATCAATGATTTGATATCTCGTTATTGAATATTGGATCATAGGTGCACTATGTCACAAGTATAGAAGATGTCAAAAATAAATATTGTACTTTTTGATCACTGAGAACGATAATGTAAAGCGATAATGTGATATCAATTGATCGCAAAAAGTTAACAATATCATTAGAAGTCATTGTAAGAGGTCATGACGTGGAGATTTGTCATGGAAATTTGAATTGTTAATAAATATGTTGTAAGTCAATGATAACAATGGTTTAATCATTAATAATGATGTGGTACAAAGTTAATAATTTCATCGTAAACGTTGTTGATGAAAATGTAAATCGGTCAGAATTGATCCAAATTGTTAATAATGTAATCGTAAAACATTGATAGGATTATTGAAATAATTAATGATAATAGTTATATTATTAATTATTTATTTCATAAAGCATTGACACTTTTCACAATTTTAATTATTTATTTCATAAAGCATTGTAAGAGGTCATGACGTGGAGATTTGTCATGGAAATTTGAATTGTTAATAAATATGTTATAAGTTAATGATAACAATGGTTTAATCATTAATAATGATGTGGTACAAAGTTAATAATTTCATCGTAAACGTTGGTGATGAAAATGTAAATCGGTCAGAATTGATCCAAATTGTTAACAATGTGATCGTAAAACATTGATAGGCTTATTGAAATAGTTAATAATAATAGTTATATTATTAATTATTTATTTCATAAGCGTTAATAATACTAGTGAAAACATTAATAATGCTATTGCAAGTCCCTACAAAGAGAGTAGATATGTTAACTTTTAAAATTTCATTTTTCAAATATTAAATATCAATTTCAGATTTCTATTTTTGATTTGTAATATTTGTATTAATGAGCTATCGAATTTAAAAAGGAAAGTTGGTTTTCCTTTTTTAACCTATTGATTTTAAATATTAATGACATTAAATATTTTTTTATTCCTTCCGTGCCCTTTTGGGTAGTTAATCAATTATTGTTATTGCTTACCTCTCTCCTTCTCCTATTGGCTAGAATGAGTTTGAGATCCTACTTAAGAAATGGGGTTTAAGGACCTGATCCAACCCGATCGCCATCAACTAGACCCAGCAACAGCAGCCGAAACAGATCACAACCCACAACTCTCTCGCCCTCCCAAATCCACCACCACTCTTCCCTCTTCATCTCCCCATTCTCCGCAACTCAAGCGAACCCACCACAATCACCATCGCCAACAGCAGTACTGTCGGCGGCAAGAAGAAGGGAATCGCTGCCTTCAGAGGCTTGGGATGCGCTGCTGGGGCTGCCCGTTAGGTGTCTGTCCCTGCGGTGATAAGGTCATCGGCGGAGTGGGATGGAAAGAAAGTAAAGAAGAAGATGAAGAAAAAAGTTGTGGTTGCGTCTCCTGGTCCTCCCCCGCCACCCCTGCAGCAGAGGAGGAAGATGAGCAAGCACCAGGGGGTTATCAATTTTACTTTTCAGATTTAGGGGGGTGGGTTTGGGGTTGGGTCGATTATTGGGTTGGTTTGAGGGTTGGGTAGGGAAGGTTGACATGGCGGGCAAATCTGACGTGGCGGGTCGGGTAGTCATTTTTTAGGGTTAAAATATGTTGACTGTGATTTTCTGTAAGCCATGTCATCAC